CACCACACCCACACCACGTGGCTCCCCCACACCCACACCACGTGGCTCCCCACCACACCCCCACCACGTGGCTCCCCACCACACCCACACTACGTGGCCCCCCGCCACACCCACACCACGTGGCCCCCCCCACCACACCCACACCACGTGACCACACCCACACCACGTGGCCCCCCGCCACACCCACACCACGTGGCCCCTCGCCACACCCACACCACGTGGCTCCTCGCCACACCCACACCACGTGGCCCCCCACCACACCCACACCACGTGGCCCCCACCACACCCACACCACGTGGCCCCCCCGCCACACCCACACCACGTGGCCCCCCCACCACACCCACACCACGTGGCCCCCCGCCACACCCACACCACGTGGCCCCCCGCCACACCCACACCACGTGGCTCCTCGCCACACCCACACCACGTGGCCCCCCACCCACACCACGTGGCCCCCCCCCCCACCACACCCACACCACGTGGCCACCACACCCAACCACGTGGCCCCCCCCACCACACCCACACCACGTGGGCCAAGACTGACCAGGCCCCTGTGCGAGCCGCTGTTATGGTCGTGGTCATTGCTTGTACTGACGGCTGGGAGGGCGGGTGTCGCCGGGCCGCCGCTGTGCGCGCCAGTATCGTATCTCGTTATACACCATCCTATCGTCGCCTTATCTGTGGTGGCTGCGATTACAGTTAACGAGACTGAGGATGTTCATCTGTGGTTAGTTTAGGATTTTTCATCCTCATACACGTCTAATAGGCGATTATGAGGACTTGCTGATGAGTATCTGGAAGGATAAAAGTCACATCTTGTCACTAGACGATTCGTCATTGGATTTTAAAATATATCTAACCTCACCCCAGACCAACCTAACTCAACCAAGCCTAACACAACCTAACATCCAAACGAATAAGCAGGACAACATAACCTCACAAAGATATTTATCTCTCAGAATGTTTGGTAATATGTTTATTGTTTGTGATGTGTGTATATGTATGTATTAACACGATGTACTGAACGGGGTGAGAATAGCTTGAGCTACCTCATCCCTTTGTGTGTATTTTACCTCAATAAACTTATTTCAATTTCACGACATAGACGATTGTGAGGTTGACCTCTGGGGATGATGAGGGAGGTGCAGGGTGTAGACGATTGTGAGGTTGACCTCTGGGGATGATGAGGGAGGTGCAGGGTGTTGTGAGGTAGGAGGTAGGGCGGGTGTAGTGTGTCTGTGGTGTTGGTAATGGCGGCGGGAGAGCTGGGAGGGGGCGACGCTTCCTTCCTTCCTGCTATTGGTAAACGTGAATACAAATTTATTATTTTCGAATGGTAAGTTTTCTTTGTATTGTGGAAACTTTTGAGGACGGAACAATAAAGGATTCAAAATAATCCTTAGATGATTAGCTTGTAGATTGGTACAAGTTTTGTATGGAAGTTGTGGCTAGGAGCCTAGCTTGGGGGGGGGGGGGGCGTCAGTTACAGGTCGGCCTGTGTTGCAGCATCAACACTGAAACAAGGTATATATATTTCAGTGTTACTTGTTGTGTTGCATACTTTTTAGTGAACTGTAACGAGGATTTGCGGCTTACCTGTAACAGGTAAATAAAAGGCGGAAGACCTGTGACGTCGACAATGTTCTCCAGGTGTGTTAATGTTACCGCAGGTGTGTGTATGGTACCGCAGGTGTGTGTATGGTTCTGATCAACCAGGCTGTGATTCATACGTCAGGCTGCGAGCAGCCGCGTCCAACAGCCTGGTTGACCAGTCCGGCAACGAGGAGGCCTGGTCGATGACCGGGCCGCGGGGACGCTAAGCCCCGGAACAACTCCAAGGTATGGTACCGCAGGTGTGTGTATGGTACCCCCAGGTGTGTGTATGATACCCCCAGGTGTGAGTATGATACCCCCCAGGTGTGTGTATGATACCCCCCAGGTGCGTGTATGGTACCCCCCAGGTGCGTGTATGATACCCCCCAGGTGTATGTATGATACCCCCAGGTGTGTGTATGATACCCCCAGGTGTGAGTATGATACCCCCCAGGTGTATGTATGGTACCCCCAGGTGTGTGTATGATACCCCCAGGTGTGAGTATGATACCCCCCAGGTGTGTGTATGATACCCCCCAGGTGCGTGTATGGTACCCCCCAGGTGCGTGTATGATACCCCCAGGTGTGTGTATGATACCCTGCCTCAGTCAGTTGTTATTTTACAGTACAGATAAGGAACCTGATGTTGAAGTACTCTCCATGTAGAGTATAGATTGTGGGCTATATCTCTGGCCTCCGTATGGGCGGGCGGGCCTCCGTCCCAGAGAGAGGACGGCCCGCGTCCTCACAGCTGTGTAAGCAGTACCAGGTGTTCACAGTATCTGGTTCGCATCTCTTAGGCCTAACCTGCCCTGGAAAGTTGGTGACACCCCCCCCCCCTAGTGTTCACATAATGTTGCTGGGAGTGTTCTGTGGGAGAACACTTCGCAACAACCTCATCTAGAGTCATACCGTGAACATATGCTGGCGATGAGTCACAATAACGTGGCTGAAGTATGTTGACCAGACCACACACTAGAAAGTGAAGGGACGACGATGTTTCGGTCCGTCCTGGACCATTCTCAAGTCGAAACGTCGTCGTCCCTTCACTTTCTAGTGTGTGGGATACCGTGAACAGTTTGAAAGAGTTTGTAGTTACTAAAGAAAAAAATCTTGAGATTTTGTATTAAGACGTAAAGTGTTATTTTCACGTTTCCCGATCCTGTTACTTTATCAAGGCTCATTTTTTTTTTTTTGGAGATATATACAAGAGTTGTTACATTCTTGTGCAGCCACTAGTACGCGTAGTGTTTCGGGCAGGTCCCTGCAATACGATTCCCGCCGCGGAGAATCGTTGTTACAACCAAGTACACATTTTACTGTTGCGTTAAACAGAAGCTTCAGTTAAGGATTTGCGTCCAGTAAATCCTCCCCGGCCAGGATACGAACCCATGACAAAGCGCTCGCGGAACGCCAGGCGAGTGTCTTACCACTGCACCACGGAGACTAAATGTGTAGTAGAGGGAGGAGTGAGGAGGAGAACAATGGCTGGCCCGGGGAGTAGAAGAACTCCCAGAACATCTCTCCAGGTATGCTGCAGGTATGTCTGGAGGTTACCTTCACATGGGTCCCAGGCTCAGTGGCGCCTCCTGGTTGTGACGGCCTGGTCAACCAGGTTGTTGCACGCCGCTCCCCGCACTTGGCGAGGCAGTCTTTAACCCGAGTTATTGCTCTGACTTGGAGATGTAATTATTTGTTAGCTTAGGATGATAGACACAATTAAAACATGATTTTTATAGTAGGTAAATAGTAGTAGGTTTGTATAGTAAAGAGAAAGGCTTTTTCCTGGTTATTGCAGTAGGAGCGTGAGTGTACTGGTCTAGCTGTGCTTGTGGCACTGAGCATCAGCCCTTGCGCCTTACTGCTCAACCTTTAGCCAAGCGATGTACTGGTTTCTGAACAATGGGAAACATGGAAGTCACTCCCACAACCCTGCTGGGCATATGCACAGATGTGGGCAGGGATGGGGGTGCCCTCCTGTATTGCCTGCACAGCCTCGAGCCTCAGTTTCCCGAACAGTTTGGGCTGTGGCATGTCAACGTGTAATGGTGTACATTGAGCCTGCCTCCTCCACTTCACTACCTTTCTTAATCAGACACTGATGAAACTCTTGTAACTATCGCCGTAGATTGCACATGTGCTCCATTGTTCGTGTTCTGTCCGTGGGAGTGTGTCCTTGGGTAATTGGCCGATTGCCTTTTGTGGCGTGATAATGAGTCTCCTGTTTCTTCTCCCTCTCCGTGATGAGGGGTTTAGTGCCGGTAATCTTTCCTCGGAGCTCATACCTCTCATCTCTGGGACCAGTATTTTCTTGGACTTGTCATTTATGGGACATGTCATTTTTTAGACTAATAATTTCTGGGACGAGTCATTTCTTGAATTATCTCTTTGATTAGTCATTTCTGGGACTTTTCATTTCTGGAACTATTCGTCTCAGGGGTATAGTTACCTTTAGGACTTTTTTGTTTGTTTGTTTGTCCGTTTTTTGTTTGATGAGATATGATCTTAACGGTGGCGCCAGATATTCCATAATGGGTTTTCCAGTGTGATACGCACGACTTTTAATGGCTTCATGTTTAGAGTTTTGAAGACAGATCTTATTTTGGGCAACCTTGCATGTGCGGCCTTCCAGATATTGTTTGCTTCAGGAGACAGGTTCAGTGTGACGTGGCTACACCCTTCTTTAATGTGTCCAGTTCTAGAATGGTTTCCCATTTCATTTGGTGTCCTGTGTCCGACGGCTTCCTGTCCCCAAGCGACCTTCGTCATTGTTTTGCATTTGGTGAGTTGAATCTAAGCAGCCACTTGTTAGATCAGTCTTGCAGTATGTCCATTTTTTTTTTGTTAGCTTCTCAATGTTGTCCACCATGTTTACTCTACTCATTTATTGGCCATCAACACACACATTGAAGGAGGGAGTGAGTTTGTTGTCTCTTCAACATATGAACGACAGTTCATATGTTGTACATTATATCTAAGGTAGGTATAGGTAATATTATGGGTGGTTGATGGGTTGCAGGAGAAGGATAGGGCACGGAGCTGAGCCGTGTGGGCACCCACTGGTAACCTCTGCCCGTCCTGGCGACTCCTCTCACAATAACTCGGCTGTCTATTGCTTCAATAATTCATAATTCTCCTTGTCGGAGAGAGGAAGCCTGAATATAGGGGTTATTAAGTCCCCCCCCCTCCCTCTGGCCAACTGTTGACCTCCAGGATGATGCCCACAACAGTTGTGGGCATGGGTTGTGGGCTGTTGTGGGCATCATCCTGGAGGTCAACAGTTGCCCAACTCCCGGGTACCTGTTTACTGCTAGGTGAACAGAGGCATCAGGTGAAAAGGAAACGTGCACAGCAGTTTCTGTCCCACTCTGTCCAGCTTGTTTCCTTCGTCTTGAGGACTGTATTTACTATTTGTGCCTTCGGAAGGTGTCCCGTCCATGGTCAGTGTTCCAACGCTGCTCACACACGCTGACATCACAGTCTGCTGCCTCCACGGGTTGAAGGCATGCCACGGCATCTTTCTAACAATGCACATATACTATCTAATTGATAAGCACCATTCTGAACACAACCACTTACTAACGGGGTGGATTACGAGCCAGCAACACTCGAATGGTCCCCAAGCAACAGTTTTTCAACACTATAATGATCTCTCAAGGATTCGAACCTATAAACCACAAGTGTAGCGAGGGGACAGGATGGATGCATGTGAGTCTTGAGACCTTCCTACACTTATTACGCTATCGCTATTACGCTATAGAGTGGGGATGGTACTTGACGCTGTGGCGACCTAGGGTCGAATTCTTAGAGTATTGTGATATACTAACTCCTTAAAATATGGCTGATATCAACACGAACTATGCAGATTTTGAAGGAGAATTCGACAACATGCCCATGCATTCAGCCGCGGGGCCAGACTCCTAAATTTAATATTTATAAAGATATACAAAGTGTCAGTAGCACTAACAGTGTAGTGTGGAGAAAAAGCTTGGGCACTGGGGAAATACCAGAAACACTTACATCAGCAGATATTCCTCCTCTACACAAGGGAGGGAGGAAAGTATTGGCTAAGAATTATAAACCAGTTCCAGTAATGTCCTACACAATGAAAGTTTTTGAGAGAGATCAGGAGTCAGATCTCCAGTTTTATGGAGACCATTGACTTCCACATCCCAGGCCAGCATGGATTTAGAGCGGGAAGCTCTAAACTCGACCACTATGATAACATCACTGATGCATAAGACAAAATTACCAGAATGCAGATGTAGTATACACGGACTTTGCAAAGGTATTCGATAAATGTGACTATGGAATAATACCACACAAAATGAGTACAGTAAGAATAACAAGTAAAGTATGGCGTTGGATATTCAATTTTCTGGCTAACAGAACACAAAGTGTAGCCATCAACCAAATAAAATCGAGTGCAGGCACAGTTAAAAACTCTGTACCTCAAGGTACAGTCCTTGCACCACTGCTTTCCTTATTCTCATCAGATATAGATAAAAATACAAGTTACAGCTTCATGTCGTCTTTTGCAGATGACACAAAAATCAGCATAAAAATTATTTCTGTAGAAGACATTAAAAAAACTTTAAGCAGATATTAAATTAATAAAGTTTTTGACTGGACAACAGAAAATAACATGATGTTCAACAGTGATAAATTCCACGTACTGACGTACGGTAAAAACGGAAGACCTTATACAGAGTGTAAAACACTATCAAATCTGCCCATAGTGGGAAAGCAGCACGTGAAGGATCTGTTAATATTGGTGTCTGACGTTAATATTGGTGTCTGACGTTAATATTGGTGTCTGACGTTAATATTGGTGTCTGACGTTAATATTGGTGTCTGACGTTAATATTGGTGTCTGACGTTAATATTGGTGTCTGACGTTAATATTGGTGTCTGACGTTAATATTGGTGTCTGACGTTAATATTGGTGTCTGACGTTAATATTGGTGTCTGACGTTAATATTGGTGTCTGACGTTAATATTGGTGTCTGACGTTAATATTGGTGTCTGACGTTAATATTGGTGTCTGACGTTAATATTGGTGTCTGACGTTAATATTGGTGTCTGACGACCAACCGTTTAGGGAGCATAACCAAGCAAATATAGCATCAGCTAGAAAATTACAGGTTGGATTACGAGAACCTTCAAATCCAAAGTTCAGATCACAATCCTTACATGATTCAATACACAGGCGTCAACGATACGGAAGGAAATGTAGAATAGAGCCAGTGAAGAGTAGAGGTGCCAAAGGCACAATATAGAGAACAGTGTATGAACAACAGAGGTCCAGCGTTCCTAGACCTTTGTTGGCGGGACGGTGCAGGCTGGAGGGGCGAGAGGGTGCAGGCTGGAGGGGCGGGAGGGTGCAGGCTGGAGGGGGCGGGAGGGTGCAGGCGGGAGGGTGCAGGCTGGAGGGGGCGGGACGGTGCAGGCTGGAGGGGGCGGGAGGGTGCAGGCTGCAGGGGGCGGGACGGTGCAGGCTGGAGGGGGCGGGAGGGTGCAGGCGGGAGGGTGCAGGCTGGAGGGGGCGGGAGGGTGCAGGCTGGAGGGGGCGGGACGGTGCAGGCTGGAGGGGGCGGGAGGGTGCAGGCTGGAGGGGGCGGGAGGGTGCAGGCTGGAGGGGCAGGACGGGCAGGCTGGAGGGGTCGGACGGTGCAGGCTGGAGGGGGCGGGAGGGTGCAGGCTGGAGGGGGCGGGAGGGTGCAGGCTGCAGGGGGCGGGAGGGTGCAGGCTGGAGGGGGCGGGACGGTGCAGGCTGGAGGGGGCGGGAGGGTGCAGGCTGTAGGGGGCGGGAGGGTGCAGGCTGGAGGGGGCGAGACGGTGCAGGCTGGAGGGTGCAGGCTGGAGGGGGCGGGAGGGTGCAGGCTGGAGGGGGCGGGAGGGTGCAGGCTGCGAGGGTGCAGGCTGGAGGGTGCAGGCTGGAGGGGGCGGGAGGGTGCAGGGTGGAGGGGGCGGGAGGGTGCAGGGTGGAGGGGGCGGGAGGGTGCAGGCTGCAGGGGGCGGGAGGGGGGTGCAGGCTGGAGGGGGCGGGACGGTGCAGGCTGGAGGGGCGGGAGGTTGCAGGCTGGAGGGGGCGGGAGGGTGCAGGCTGCAGGGGGCGGGAGGGTGCAGGCTGGAGGGGGTGGGAGGGTGCAGGCTGGAGGGGCGGGAGGGTGCAGGCTGGAGGGGGCGGGAGGGTGCAGGCTGGAGGGGGCGGGAGGGTGCAGGCTGGAGGGGGCGGGACGGTGCAGGCTGGAGGGGGGCGGGAGGGTGCAGGCTGGAGGGGGCGGGAGGGTGCAGGCTGGAGGGGGCGGGAGGGTGCAGGCTGGAGGGGGCGGGAGGGTGCAGGCTGGAGGGGGCGGGACGGTGCAGGCTGGAGGGGGCGGGAGGGTGCAGGCTGGAGGGGGCGGGAGGGTGCAGGCTGGAGGGGGCGGGAGGGTGCAGGCTGGAGGGGGCGGGAGGGTGCAGGCTGGAGGGGGCGGGAGGGTGCAGGCTGGAGGGGGCGAGACGGTGCAGGCTGGAGGGGGCGGGAGGGTGCAGGCTGGAGGGGGCGGGAGGGTGCAGGCTGGAGGGGGCGGGAGGGTGCAGGCTGGAGGGTCGAGACGGTGCAGGCTGGAGGGGGCGGGAGGGTGCAGGCTGGAGGGGGCGGGAGGGTGCAGGCTGGAGGGGGCGGGAGGGTGCAGGCTGGAGGGGGCGGGAGGGTGCAGGCTGGAGGGGGCGGGAGGGTGCAGGCTGGAGGGGGCGGGACGGTGCAGGCTGGAGGGGGCGGGAGGGTGCAGGCTGGAGGGGGCGGGAGGGTGCAGGCTGGAGGGGGCGGGAGGGTGCAGGCTGGAGGGGGCGGGAGGGTGCAGGCTGGAGGGTGCAGGCTGGAGGCTGGAGGGGGCGGGAGGTGCAGGCTGGAGGGGGCGGGAGGGTGCAGGCTGCAGGGGGCGGGAGGGTGCAGGCTGGAGGGGGGCGGGAGGGTGCAGGCTGGAGGGGGCGGGAGGGTGCAGGCTGCAGGGGGCGGGAGGGTGCAGGCTGGAGGGGCGGGAGGGTGCAGGCTGGAGGGGGCGGGAGGGTGCAGGCTGGAGGGGGCGGGAGGGTGCAGGCTGGAGGGGGCGGGAGGGTGCAGGCTGGAGGGGGCGGGAGGGGTGCAGGCTGGAGGGGGCGGGAGGGGGTGCAGGCTGGAGGAGGCGGGGGGGTGGTGCAGGCTGGAGGGGGCGCGGGAGGGTGCAGGCTGGAGGGGCGCGAGGAGGGTGCAGGCTGGAGGGGGACGCGGGGGGGTGCAGGCTGCAGGGGGCGCGGGAGGGTGCAGGCTGGAGGAGGCGGGGGGGGGGAGGGTGCAGGCTGGAGGGGGCGCGCTGGAGGGGTGCAGGGTGCGGGCTGGAGGAGGCGGGAGGGGGGGGCGGGAGGGTGCAGGCTGGAGGGGGCGGGGAGGGTGCAGGCTGGAGGGGCCTGGAGGGTGCGGGCTGGAGGGCCGGGAGGGTGCGGGCTGGAGGGGGGCGGGAGGGTGCAGGCTGGAGGGGGCGCGGGAGGGTGCAGGCTGGAGGTGGCGCGGGAGGGCTGGAGGGTGCGGGAGGCGGCCGCGGGAGGGTGCGGGCTGGAGGGGCCGCGGGAGGGTGCGGGCTGGAGGGGCCGCGGGAGGGTGCGGGCTGGAGGGGCCGCGGGAGGGTGCGGGCTGGAGGGGGGCTGGAGGGTGGGGGGGGCGGAGGGTGCGGGCTGGAGGGGGCGCGGGAGGGGGTGCGGGCTGGAGGGGGGCGGGAGGGTGCGGGCTGGAGGGGGGGCGGGAGGGTGCGGGCTGGAGGGGCCGCGGGAGGGTGCAGGCTGGAGGGAGGATAGTAAAGGCGACGGGTGATGGAGGTCGCGGCGCCGCTCAAGCAATCGATCCTGGGCACCATGACGACCACAGCATCCCCCCCCCCTCATGCACCCCCATTCCCCCCCCCCCTCATGCACCCCATTACCTCCCTCATGCACCCCATTACCCCCCTCATGCACCCCATTCCTCCCTCATGCACCCCATTCCTTCCTCATGCACCCCCATTCCCTCCCTCATGCACCGCATTCCCTCCCTCATGCACCCCCCCATTCCCCCTCATGCACCCCCCCATTCCCCCTCATGCACCCCATTTCCCCCTCATGCAACCCCATCTCCCCCCCTCATGCACCCCATCTCCCCCCTCATGCACCCCCATTCCCCCCCTCATGCACCCCATTACCCCCCTCATGCACCCCATTCCTCCCTCATGCACCCCCATTCCTTCCTCATGCACCCCCATTCCTCCCTCATGCACCGCATTCCCTCCCTCATGCACCCCCCCATTCCCCCTCATGCACCCCCCATTCCCCTCATGCACCCCCATTCCTCCCTCATGCACCCCATCTCCCCCCCCTCATGCCCCCCATCTCCCCCCTCATGCACCTCCATTCCCCCCTCATGCACCTCCATCCCCCCCCTCATGCACCCCCATTCCCCCCCTCATGCACCCCCATTCCCCCCTCATGCACCCCTTTCCCCTCCTCATGCACCCCTTTCCCCTCCTCATGCACCCCCATTTCCCCCCTCATGCACCCCCCATTTCCCCCCTCATGCACCCCCATTCCCCCCTCATGCACCCCAATTCTCCCCTCATGCACCCCCATTCCCCCCTCACGCACACCCATCTCCCCCCCTCATGCACCCCATTCCCCTCCTCATGCACCTCCATTCCCCCCTCATGCACCCCATCTCCCCCCCTCATGCACCCCATTCCCCTCCTCATGCACCTCCATTCCCCCCTCATGCACCCCCATTCCCCCCTCATGCACCCCCATTCCCCCCTCATGCACCCCTTTCCCCCCTCCTCATGCACCCCTTTCCCCCCTCATGCACCCCCATTCCCCCCCTCATGCACCTCCATTCCCCCCTCATGCACCCCCATTCCCCCCTCATGCACCCCCATTCCATCCTCATGGCACCCCATCTCCCCCCCTCATGCCCCCCATTCCCCTCCTCATGCACCTCCATTCCCCCCTCATGCACCCCATCTCCCCCCTCATGCACCCCTTCCCCTCCTCATGCACCTCCATTCCCCCCTCATGCACCCCCATTCCCCCCTCATGCACCCCTTTCCCCCCTCATGCACCCCCTTTCCCCCCCTCATGCACCCCTTTCCCCCCCTCATGCACCCCTTTCCCCTCCTCATGCACCCCATTCCCCCCCCTTGCACCCCCCTTTCCCCCCCCTCATGCACCCCTTTCCCCCCTCATGCACCCCCATTCCCCCCTCATGCACCCCTTTCCCCTCCTCATGCACCCCCATTCCCCCCTCATGCACCCCCACCCCCATTCCCCCCTCATGCATTCCCCCCCTCATGCACCCCCATTCCCCCCTCATGCACCCCATTCCCCCCTCCACCCCATTCCCCTCCTCATGCACCCCCATTCCCCCCTCATGCACCCCATTCCCCCCTCATGCACCCCCATTCTCCCCCCCTCATCCCCTCCTCACCCCTTTCCCCCTCCTCATGCACCTCCATTCCCCCCATTCCCCCCCCCATGCACCCCCATTCATGCACCCCCCCCTCATGCACCCCATTCCCCCCTCATCATCCCCCCCCTCATGCACCCCATCTCCCCCCTCATGCACCCCATTCCCCTCCCCCCTCATGCACCCCCATTTTCCCCCCTCATGCACCCCATTCCCCTCATGCACCCCCATGCACCTCCCCCCTCATGCACCCCCATTCCCCCCTCATGCACCCCCATTCCCCTCCTCATGCACCTCCATTCCCCCCTCATGCACCCCCATTCCCCCCTCATGCACCCCTTTCCCCTCCTCATGCACCCCTTTCCCCTCCTCATGCACCCCCATTCCCCCCTCATGCACCCCCATTCCCCCCTCATGCACCCCCATTTCCCCTCCTCATGCACCCCCATTCCCTCCTCATGCACCCCCCCCCCTCATGCACCTCCATTCCCCCCCTCATGCACCTCCATTCCCCCCCTCATGCACCCTCCATTCCCCCCCTCATGCACACCCCATTCCCCCCTCATGCACCTCCATTTTGCACCCCCCCCCCTCATGCACCTCCATTCCCCCCCTCATGCACCTCCATTCCCCCCCTCATGCACCTCCATTTCCCCCCTCATGCACCTCCATTCCCCCCTCATGCACCCCCATTCCCCCCTCATGCACCTCCATTCCCCCCTCATGCACCCCCATTCCCCCCCTCATGCACCTCCATTCCTTCCATTCCCCCCTCATGCACCCCCCATTCCCCCCTCCCCCCTCATTGCACCCCATGCATCTTCCCCCCTCATGCACCCCCATTTCCCCCCTCATGCACCCCCATTCCCTCCTCATGCCCCCCATTCTCCCCTCATGCACCTCCATTCCCCCCTCATGCACCTCCATTCCCCCCTCATGCACCCCCCATTCCCCCCTCATGCACCTCCATTCCCCCCTCATGCACCCCCATTCCCCCCCTCATGCACCTCCATTCCCCCCTCATGCACCCCCCATTCCCCCCTCATGCACCCCTTTCCCCCTCCTCATGCAGCACCCCTTTCCCCTCCTCATGCAACCCCCCCCTTCCCCTCCTCATGCACCCCTCATTCCCCTCCTCATGCACCCCCCATTCCCCTCCTCATGCACCTCCATTCCCCCTCATGCCCCTCTCCATACACCCTCGTGTAGCCCCATAATAAAGCAGTAGACTTCAACATTTTTTTCCAAAACTTGAGAACATAGCACCAGTGTTGTGTGTGGTGGTATGCCACTTCCACGTCTTCTGTAGTGTCCATGTTGATATTATGGTGCTGGAACTATAGGTGGTCCCTTGGTGCTGGACTGTAGGTGGTTCCTTGGTGCTGGAACTGTAGGTGGTCCCTTGGTGCTGGAACTGTAGGTTGTCCCACCACTCTGCTGGAACTGTAGGTGGTTCCTTGGTGGAACTGTAGGTGGTCCCTTGGTGCTGGAACTATAGGTGGTCCCTTGGTGCTGGAACTGTAGGTGGTCCCCTTGGTGCTGGAACTGTAGGTGGTCCCTTGGTGCTGGAACTGTAGGTGGTTCCTTGGTGCTGGAACTATAGGTGGTCCTTTTCAAAAACGCTTGTGCTATCTAGAGTGGAGTACTGCTGCACAATGACATCCCCTTTCAAAGCTGAGAAATTGCTGACGTAGAGAGCGTGCCCTTACTGCTAGAATCCACTGTAAAACATCTAAATTACTGGTGGACCGACTAAAGAGCCTAAATCTGTACTCCCTTGAGCGCAGGCGGGAGAGACATAATAATTTACACGTGGAAAAATAATTGAGGGGCTGGTCCCAAACCTGCACACAGAAATAACCACCACATGAGACCAGAAGACATGGCAGGATGTGCAGAATACCCCCGTTGAAAAGCAGAGGTGCAACAGGTACTCTGAGAGAGAACTCATCAACATCAGAGGCCCGAGACTGTTCAACACGCTTCCACTACACATAAGGGGCATTGGCAAACCCCTCACTCAAGAGAGAACTGATAAGCACCTCCAAAGGATACCTGATCACCAGCTGTGACTCATACGTCACTGCGAGCAGCCGCGTCTAACAGCCTGGTTGATCAGTCCAGCAACATGAGGCCTGGTGACACTAAGCCCCGGAAGCACCTCAAGGTAGCCTCAAGGTAGGTAGGTCCCTTGGTGCTGGTAGTTGGTCCCTTGGTGCTGGAACTGTAGGTGGTCCCTTGGTGCTGGAACTGTAGTGGTCCCTTTGTGCTGGAACTGTAGGTGGTTCCTGAACTGTAGGTGGTTCCTTGGTGCTGGAACGTTGGTAGTTCCTTGGTGCTGGAACTGTAGGTTGTTCCTTGGTGCTGGAAACTGTAGGTGGTCCCTTGGTGCTGAACTGTAGGTGGTTCCTTGGTGCTGGAACTGTACTTGGTGCTGGAACTGTAGGTGGTTCCTTACTGCTGGAACTGTAGTGGTTCCTTACTGCTGGAACTGTGGTGGTCCCTTGGTGCTGGAACTGTAGGTGGTTCCTTGGTGCGGAACTGTAGGTGGTCCCTTGGTGCTGGAACTGTAGGTGGTTCCTTACTGCTGGAACTGTAGGTGGTTCCTTACTGCTGGAACTGTAGGTGGTCCCTTGGTGCTGGAACTGTAGGTGGTTCCTTGGTGCTGGAACTGTAGGTGGTTCCTTGGTGCTGGAACTGTAGGTGGTTCCTTAGTACTGGAACTGTAGATGGTTCCTTAGTACTGGAACTGTAGGTTGTTCCTTAGTGCTGGGTAGTAGTTTCCTTGGTGCTGGAACTGTAGGTGGGTTCCTTGGTGCTGGAACTGTAGGTGGTCCCTTGGTGCTGGAACTGTAGGTGGTTCCTTGGTGCTGGCAGGTGGTTCCTTGGTGCTGGAACTGTAGGTGGTTCCTTGGTGCTGGAACTGTAGATGGTTCCTTGGTGCTGGAACTGTAGGTGATTCCTTGGTGCTGGAACTGTAGGTGGTTCCTTGGTCTGGAACTGTATGTGGTTCCTTTGTGCTGGAACTGTAGGTGGTTCCTTGGTGCT